AGGAAAGGAAAGGAAAGGAAAGGAAAGGAAAGGAAAGGAAAGGAAAGAAAAGAAAAAAGAAACGAAAAGAAAAGAGTAACAGAAAACAATAAATCTACCACACTAGCTCTACCACCTAGTATTTTGGTAGCCTGGGGGGAAATTAGTCATTTGTGGGTTTTTTTATCTATAAAATAGGATCCTTGTGAAGATTAAATAAAATGATGTATGCAGAACAATTAGCTCACAGTAAGCTCTCAAATGCTCTTTTATTTTGAGAAAAAAATATATGGGGAAAAGCCTTAAAACCAGGAAAATACTATATAATAATTGCATTGCCCTGAAAATTGGGGAAAGACCATTAGTCTCTTATATTTTTCTGTAAAACTTCTTGTGGGGATACCAGTGTCCAGTGGGAACATAATTTTAAAAGCACTAAATTCTGACAATATTTGTATATATCCAATCATTCCAAGTCCTGATCAGCTGACCTCAAAATGAACTTTTGAAACCCAACTCATTTGTTTGTAATTGCAAAACAGTTTCCATATGTGTGCATGTATATCCATTTATTATGCTAATAGTGCATAACCTTGCTATTCTGCCAAAGAGATAAAAGAAAAGAAGTTTACCAGAAAAAAAATCTGTTAGTCACTGACTGATATGTCTTTGTATTATGCTAAAAAATACCGGAAGAGAGACAGATGGTTGATCTTCATTTAACACAAAAGCAAGAACTTTAAAGACTATCAGAGCCTTTGCTGAACTATCACATTGATTCAATAGCTAGAAACACAATTAGTAAAGAATAGGAAAATCATGGGTGAAAACAATCATCCTTGTAATCAATCTTTTATAAATTCCCTATGGGTAGTTAATTTCATATAATACTATCCAGTGTTGTAATTCCCTCCCTGTTCTTCCCCTTCCCCCAAGCCCAGAAATATTTGAAATTCAATACAAGAACTCTTGCCACAGAATTATATTAAAAGATTTAATTAACAGGAAATTCTGCATAGCATATCTATCAGCTACAAGGAGATTATTCTCCATAGAGATCCCATGGATTCCTGAGCAACCTCTGCCTAAAGAGACCATTCACCTTTAGTCACAATCTCTAACACATGCATTGTTTGTCTTCCTGAGAAGCTGTGGCTGATGTTGGTTTTCAGTTACTTTTATATTTAACTTCTCAGTACTTTCTGGAACTCTTCATGCAATGAATCTTGAAAATGACCAAGAATTTCCCCTTGGCTCTTGGCATGTGAAATCATCATCTCTCCTCTCTAGAAGCCCTCACTCCATTTTTCTGGCTGTTACCTACTCACTCAACACCTTCTGGGAAGCCACTGAACAAGAGAAACAGTTGCCGAACCTGGAGAGATACGGGAACTCTCCTTGCTATTGCTAAAGGGAAGGGAACTTGGACTTTTTGCTAATGATCACCATCTTGTTTCTATGATAACTTTCTTATATTGGGCAGAGTAATATTTTCTCCCCACTGGGTCTATAATGGCTTTACTACCTTTCTCATTCTTCTAATGCTCCTTCACAGTACATTCCTTCATGACAGTCTTATTTTGGGAGATATACTGGGACATGCACAAATGGGAGAGGAAAAACTAGCGCTAATAATAATGACTTGACATCAGTGAAGAAACAAAGTAATACAATCCAGCCAATGTTGAATATTAATGAAGCATAAATGAATTGACCAACAATCAAATTCTATTCTCAGCTCTCCTGGAAAGATTCCTGCCTTTGTGGTCTTCCTTGAATCCTAAGTACTTTTTCTTTTTCTTTGTCTTTTCAGTGCTACTTTGCTTCATTGGCCAAATATTCCCTTTGTGACTGAGAAGGCACTCAGTGATTTGGTGGACAAAACACTCTTCCTTCCTGTCCACCCCCCACCCCATACAAAACATTTCCTTCAGTAGGACATTTCTTTCATCAGACTTAGTTTTATTGTTTGAGGATATGCTTACAGATATGCATGTGTGTGTGTGTGTGTGTGCTCATAATATATATGAACTAAAGAATTGGGTATTATTTCAGTGAGACAGTATGTTAATAGAATTGGTTTACCTGATAAACCAAGACCACCTATTATTTGGAAAGTTGTTAGGTCATAGGTTCATAAAATTTGAGAAATATGACAACACATAGGATTGGTAGATCATAAAATGCTCTGGAGATCATAGACACTGGTACCTTTAGAGGAAGGTTCTGCAAAGAGATAGGAACTGTTGTAGCCAATGTGGAAGACTGCAAAAGAACAGAACAGAAATAGACCTGAAAAATCACAGAAGAATAGTGTTACATATGCATCTTTCAGCTAGCCAGTGTCTCCAGGTTATTTATTTTCATATTTTTCATTTTTTATTGTGGTAAAAACATATAGGGTAAAATTTCCCATCTTAAACATTTCTAACTGTACAGTTCAGTAGTGTTAACTATCTACAACAGATTTCCAGAACTTTTCATTTTGCAAAAATGAAACTCTATACCCATTAAACAACACTCCTGATTTCCATTTTTTCCCAAGTCCCCAGTAACCACCATTCTACTTTCTGTTTCTATGAATTTGACTACTCTAGATGCTTCATATAAGAGGAGTCATACAATATGTGTCATTTTGTGACTGGCTTATTTCATTTAACACAATGTCCTCAAGATTCATCCATTCTGTAGCATGTGACAAGATTTCTTTCCCTTTTAAGTCTAAATAATATTCCATTATATGTATATACCACATTTTGTCTATCCATTCGTCCAGTGATAGACCTTTGGTTTGCTTTTACTTCTTGGTTATTGTGAACAGTGCTCCAATGGG